ATTGATCCTTGCTGCTCACACAGGAGGCGCGCTGATGTGCGTACAAATACATTATGGGTGTATACATAACTAATACATTTGAAACATACAAAACTAGAAAAAGGAAGCATTTTAGTGGAAATCACAAATTGTGTGCGAACATAAGAATGGACATACTGGGTGAGAACAAAGGTCCATCCAGCCCAGTATCTTGTCTACCAACAGTGGCCAATGCCAGGTGCCCCAGGGGGAGTGAACCTAACAGGTAATGATCAAGTGATCTCTCTCTCTACCATCCATCTCCACCCTCTAACAAACAGAGGCTAGGGACACCATTCCCTACCCATCCTGACTAATAGCCATTAATGGATTTAACCTCCATGAATTTATCCAGTTCTCTTTTTAAATCCTGTTATAGTCCTGGCCTTCACAACCTCCTCAGGCAAGGAGTTCCACAGGATGACGGTGCGCTGTGTGAAGAAGAACTTCCTTTCACTTGTTTTAAACCTGCTGCCCATTAATTTCATTTGGTGGCCCCTAGTTCTTATATTATGGAAACAAGTAACTTTTCCTTATTCACTTTCTCCACACCACTCATGATTTTGTATACCTCTATCATATCCCCCCTTAGTCTCCTCTTTTGCAAACTGAAAAGTCCTAGCCTCTTTAATCTCTCCTCATACAAGACCCGTTCCAAACCCCTAATCATTTTAGTTGCCCTTCTCTGAACCTTTTCTAATGCCAGCATATCTTTTTTGAGATGAGGAGACCACATCTATACACAGTATTCAAGATGTGGGCATACCATGGATTTATATAAGGGCAATAAGATATTCTCCGTCTTACTCTGTGGGAAAAAATAAAATTCTGAGGGGAACATTAATTCTGTGCAAATTCTGCATTGTGTAGTGGTGCAGAATTTCAGGAGTAATTTACATTCGCAGAGCTACACAGTAGTCATAGTTACACACACACACAGCTATTTTCATAACTCCAGAGAGGGTTTTAAACATGATGTCTTGGCTAAATACCAGAGCAGGTAAATCTATTCCACCCATCTTAAATCCTCCCCATTGCAACCACCAGTTTTAATTAGAACTAGATTATTAAAGGGACGTTAATGTAAAGAACAATTATATATATTTTAAGAAGTCACCAGCAGTACTAGCAATCTTTATTAACAAAGATTTTTTGTAGAACTAATTACCTTTGTTCAGCGTTAATGACACTCAAGCTGAACAAACAGTGAAAACAGACTAGTTTTTTTCCACTTTCTGCCTACCATGCACTAGCACGCTGTTTTCTACAAAAGCCTTCTTTACATCTACATTGATTTGACGAGTTCTTTTCATTTCCTGTACTATTCTGTAGTATTATCATGCACTGTTGAAGAGCTGCACTCCACCACAAGCGTAGCTGCATTTCATTGATAGGTTTCAGAGTAGCAGCCGTGTTAGTCTGTATTTTCCACTGCACACATCCGATGAAGTGAGCTGTAGCTCACGAAAGCTTATGCTCAAATAAATTTGTTAATCTCTAAGATGCCAGAAGTACTCCTTTTCTTATTTCATTAATAGGTTCAATTATCATTACAGCAACAACTATAATCTGTGAAGCACTTTCCAGACACAGGAAATGAATGGTAGCCTACCATATATATAATAGGCTATAGAGACTTACGGGTTTCTATGGTCAGCTGCTTTCTTACAAGTTTAACAGCAGAAGTGAGTTGAGTAAGCTCTGTATCACTGAAATGGGTGTTGAGAAGCTTAATTGGTGATATCAGAATGCAAGTCCAAAAGATACAGCCTAATTTTGAATTTTAAGCCCTTTATAAGGCCATTTGGTCTATCTTTTACAGAAAATCAAAAACATGAGTATTCCGTAAGTGTTAACATAAAATGCTTAGAGATCCGCAGATGAAAGGCAGTGTAGAAACGTAGAGAGTACAAAAACACCAAACCAAAAATTAAGATAGTAATGATTATAGTAAAAAGATTAAAGAGCTTCACTGAAAAGTTGTAACTCAAAAAGGTAAAAGACAAGACATTCATATAAAACAAAATTCTACACACCATAAAATAAATGCTTTTACGGTGCTCACCTCATGTGTACAACCTTCAACAGTCTCAACGGCTTGCACCTTTACTTTCGGCATCAGGTCTGCCAGACTAAATAAAGAAAAGTTAACTAGCACTATCAAACTATACTGAGGGCATATTATTACATCTCATTCTTACATCAGTAAATTAAACATTTAAAAAGATGACATTATGACAGAGGGAACTGGCACCAAAACTACAACAGGGTATCAAAACTGCTAACAAATATACTTTAACCACCATTTTTGGATTTGCAACACATTTTTTAAAATTAATTATATAAATCATAAAAATTGCCTTATTCTATCAATGCCACCTTCACAGCAGTCAGCATATGCTGAAAGCCTCTTAAGTCAAACAGTCTTCAAAACTGAACAAAGCAAAGTATAGGCATGGTGTATATACTATTGTTTTCAGATTCCCCCCTCACAAGACTCCCCTCTTGATTTCTGAAAGTGTCTGTACCTCAGAAATTAGACTGCTTCTCAGGCAGCAGCCTGAACTGAAACTGGCAACCAAGTTGCCAGACAGTCCCACTTATGACAACAAGGAGAGAACACCTCAACAATGTGACAGGCAATGTAGCCTAATAGAAAAGGCACAAGACTAAGAACAGAGAACTCCTACATTCTCCCAGCTCCAACATGAACTTTTTGCTCTGGGTCAAATCACAGGCTTTCCGCCTTAGTTTCCCGTCTGTAAAATGCAGGACTCGTTATCTCCCTGTGATGCGGCAACATTTAATTAATTTTTGCAAAGAATAAAAGTTCACAAATTCCCCAAAATGCATGCAAAACCCTCCACTGACTTAGTCCACTGGAAAAAAATTACAATGTACATAGACCATAGCACAGGGGTTCTCAAACTGGAGGTCAGGACCCCTCAGGGGGTCATGAGGTTATTACATGGGGGGTTGTGAGCTGTCAGCCTCCACCCCAAACCCCGCTTTGCCTCCAGCATTTATAATGGTGTTAAATATATAAAAAGTGTTTTTAATGTATGGGGGGGGGGGGTCGCACTCAGAGGCTTGCTGTGTGAAAGGGGTCACCAGTACAAAAATCTGAGAACCTCTGCCATAGCACAAGTGGCTAGGTGGTTCTTTCCCTGAAGCAACAGGCTGCAGGGGCCAGAATCACCCCTCATATGTTATTATACATAAAATGTATTAGTAAAATTAGCATGCACCCCGCACAAAACAAAACCCTTCTCTACGTTTCTGAGGCCAGCACTAAACATAGTGGTTTGATCACTGTGGGCAAGAATCCATTACACTTACAAATTCTAGTCTGTTTGGAATGCTTTGACTAATTTTACCCCAGCGAGCACAAAGAAAATTCAGTCTTAAAAGACCTCTATCCACTTCTAGAGCCACCACAAGATCACAGGTCTACAGCACTCTTCATGACTGAACCCCATCCACTATCTTGTCTATATACTCCCACAGCTCTTTCCTCAGTATGCCATTTTCCACTGACCATCAGTCAAAGACAATGGTTTGTTTCAGTAAGCTGACTAGCAGCTGCCTCCTTGTGCATCTCTCATTTTCCCATCCCTTTCTATAAAGCACAAGCCACAAGTTCATCACTTTTAAGGTGGCTTCAACCAATAACCTGTTGACCAAATTCCAATGGCAACACTTATTAGTAGCCATTCAAACCGCACCAGCCATTTTTGTTTGTTGTAGTCACTGCCTTTACAGCTCTTTAAGATCTCCAATATTGCAACTGCTCTTCCCTGAGAGTAGTTTGACTTAATAACTTCCCAAAGCTTTCTCATTCATTTAAATAATGCTGACTCTAGACCTTTAACTTGTGATATAATTCAGAGCACCTTCACAGCAAACACTCTGCCTATACCAGATAACAAACTAAGTCTTACTTAATATCTTCTGAAACATCCTCTATCTTGGATTTCTTTCCAAAAATGGCATAATCCGTGCTATCAACCTCTGCCTCTCTTTTCTTTTTTCCTGGGATGTTCGTAGAGCCTGCTGGAGATTTGCCATCTGAGCGTTTCCTGTAATGCAAACAAACGTTAGATTTCAGATTTGCCTTTAAAATACCTCTAATGGGGGTGGGGGAAGGAGAATGGCTCTGCTATTTACGGTGGGGTATAGCTTGGGAACCCGTGTTTGTAGAAAATGTTGTTTCCAACCATAAAAAAAATCTCCCCAATGGCTTCTGGAAAATGCCAAACTCACCTCAGCCCCACGCTCTTGGTGGAGATCACAAACTGCCTGGGGGAGAGACCGTGTGCATATACCGCACTGAGCGTGCTGGAGCCAAAATCCAAAACGGATGTAAATCCCCATTAACCCCACAACGGCCAGGGGCCGCCTCTGCCCCAAACGGACATAAGCACGGCCTGTGGCCAACACTCTCCAGTACCGCCTAAGCGGGAGCCGGGGGGGGGGTCGGGCTGCACCCGCCAACCCAGGGGGCCAACCACACCGCTGTGGGGAAAGCAGCGCTGCATCCCGGGAGCCGGACTCTCCCTTCGGCCCCCGCCGTGGGGACGAGCGCAACCCCGGCCCCAGCGCGTGCGAGCCGGCGCTGGATGGGGGGAAGGGGAGGGTTATACCGAGGGCAGAGCCACGGCCGCGCCGACTAGCCACTCACCCGGCCTTGCTGGCAGCCTCGGCCGCGGCCGCTTTGCCCTTCTTGGCCGCAGAGGCGGCGCCGGCGGCGGCGGAATCGTCCTCGAACACGCTGAACAGATCGTCTCCAAAGGCGTCCGCCATCGCTCCAGCCTGTCCCACAGCGCCCCGCGCGCACCACAGAGCTCCTCCCCCGGCCCTGCACTGCGCCGGAAGGGGAAGGCGCGCGCGGCACGAGCCGGCCTGCACCGGGGAGGAAATCCCGCAGGCGCCCTACCCACGGGTGGAGATAGACGAGATGTTCTCCCACAATACCGCGCTCTCCCAGACGCAGGCAATCCCACAATGCATCGCGGCGCCACCAGCATCCTGACGTGACCTTTGGCCGGAAGTGGCTGCAAAGACCATAGAGTCCGGATTTCCAGCAAGCGCGGACGGGTGCCGGCCAATCAGAATATAGCTCCTAGCGCGGGGGTGAGGCTCTGTGGTACCCGGATGTAAAAAGTCAGGCGCTGTGTCTGCGGGGCCGGCTGGCCGCCTTGCCGTGCGGGCGCGATGGGCGGCAAGAACAAGAAGCACAAGGGGGGCGGCGCGGGGGCCGGGGCCGTTCACGCCGCTGTGTCCGCGGCCACTGCCGCTGCCAGGGCTAAAGCCGCTGCCGAGTCCGGAGCCGCCGGGGAGGCTGTAGGCAAGAGACCCGCCGTGAGGCCGGCCCTGGTATCCAAGGAGCCCCGCGTCAAGCAAGGTAGCGCCGGCGAGAGACCCTCTCTTCCCACCTGCCTGGCCGCCACACGCGGCCGGCCGGCGCCGCTCGCCTGCCCCCTCCGCGCGCTGTTCCCGGCCCCACAGGCTGCTGCGCTCAGGGGGAGGGTCCGCAACTGCAGCGGCCGGGGACTGGTCTGGCCCCTGGGGCGCTGCCCGTCCCGCACTTTCCCCTGCGCTAAACCCCCCTTCAGCCGCGGAGACGGGCGCGGTCACCCTCCGGGCAAGGGCACGGCGGCGCAGTCGGGACACGCGGTAGGACGGGTTTAGTCAGGCGCTGCTGCTGGGAACTCGCTGGGCACTGAGAGCTGCCCTGGGCTCCTGCTGTTTTTATGCCTCGTTGCAGTACGGGCAGCCCTAAGGCCTCCGAAGTTATGAGCTGGACCCACACAGATCAGGTGATTGACTGAAAAATCAGGATACTTTAAATAAAAAATAAATGATGAAGATGGGAGCTACCTTTACGATTCAGATTTCTACTCGCAACCGTGAGAGCTCAACACTGTTAAATGAAAGTTGAGATTGAGTTATAATCAAAGGAGCTGGAGCTTTAGGAAGAGCAAGAGCCTCCCATACCATATAAATTGCCAAGTATCAGGGGGTAGCCGTATTAGTCTGTATCCACAAAACGAACAAGGAGTCTGGTGGCACCTTAAAGACTAACAGATTTATATGGGCATAAGCTTTCATGGGTAAAACACCACTTCTTCCGATGCATATGAATTGCCAATACTGTGATTACCCGTAATGGGCGTTCTGCAGTCAGCATCACAGTCAGTGATACCTCTGCAGCCCCTTTGTCTTCTGCGGCATTACACAAGTGTTGCTGTGGGCAGAATTTGGTACTGAAGTAAACATTTCTGATAAAACATGAGAGAATAGTATCCACCTCACTTGCCACCAACTGTGCTTGCTTTCCAGGGCTCACAGGAGTAAAGAGCAGTGAAAACATATTTTATTCAGTAAAATCTGCAGATCTATTGAGCTGGATAGTTATAGGGCTTCTAATGCACCTTCCAGTTAAAAATATAAACGATATCTTGTGTTTTTTTTTCCAAGCCACTGGGAGGTTAATTTTTTTAAGAGCTTCCTGTGAATAGGAGTATTGTATGTCTTTATACATATGAAGAACATGATAGAAAACTAAGCCAACGAATTGGACATTTAGTTCCGTATATGGTATGGTATTGCCACGCCTCTGTGCCGCTGCTGGCAGGGCGCTGCGTTCAGAGCTGGGCGCTCGGCCAACAGCTATCAGTCTTCAGCTGCCCAGCTCTGAAGGCCGCCCAGCTCAGAAGTAAGGGTGGCAGTACTGTGACCCCCCCTGCAACTCCCTTTTGGGTCAGGACCCCCAATTTGAGAAACGCTGGTCTCCCCTGTGATATCTGTATAGTATAGGTTAAAAAGTACACAAAAGACCAGATTCTTCGGGTGGGGTGGGGGGAGACCAGATTTCATGGTCCGTGACGAGTTTTTAATGCCATGAATTTGGTATGGCCCTGTCTATATGTAAAGTCAACTCTGGAAAAGGGAGGTGAACAGAAAGTATAATCCAGAAGATTATAATACTAGAAAATTTTGCCAGAATTCATGTGTGTCTACCAAACCCTATGGAATCCCAGTCAAACCATATGCCACAAGATGCTTAAAAATTTCAGTTGCAATAAATCCTCTACCTGAAAAATGTATTAATTCACAAGCAACTCCTGAAATAAAGTAGTTACTTAAGGGTTGGATATGTCCATCTATTTATCAAAAAATGTTATATGCCTTCTCCTACACTATAGGCAAGCCATGTGTTTCTGCTTTAGATGTTTAAATTGTATTCCAATCTGCTTTGCTCGTTTAAGTAATATTTCTTTGGAATTTGCAGGTCCAAAAACCTACAGTTTTGGTTCCACACCTGATTCTAGTGCTGCTGCAAATCTGGATAAATCTATCCTTAAAGTGAGTATGTCTTTCAAGAAAAAAACAGCTTCATTCTTCCTAGTACAGTAACGCTTCACTTAGTCATCCCAGTTAACTTTCGTTGCTGATCAATTAGGGAACATGCTCATTTAAAGTTGTGCAATGCTCCCTTATAACGTTGTTTGGCAGCCGCCTGCTTTGTCCACTGCTTGCAGAAAGAGCAGCCAGTTGCAGCTAGCTTGTGGGGGCTTGGAATCAGGGTGGACCAGCCCCGCTATCAGCTTCCCGCTCCCCTAAGTTCCCTGTGAGGCAGCAGCCCAGAAGGCTATCAGTTGCCGGCAGTTCAGCTGTCCCTCCCCCCGCTGCCATGTGCTGCTTCTGCCCTCTGCCTTGGAGCTGCTCCGGGAGACTCCTGCTTGCTGTGGGGGGGGGCTAATGTCAGGGTGTCCCCCTCCCCCCTGCTCCTGCCCCTTGCTTACTCAATTTCCATAGAGCAGGGAGGGGGACACTACAGAACTCAGGATGGAGGGAGCGGACTGGCTGCAGGGGCTGTCTCAACTTGCTGATCTCCTTAAAAAGGCAGTGTACTTAGAGTGGAGTCGGCATACTTTAAGGGGCAATGCTCATCTCTCACATACACACAGGGTGTGTGTCTGTGTCTCTGTCTGCCATGCTGTTTCCCCTCCCTCCATTTGTGCTGTAGAGTGTGAGGCTACATTAACAACAATGTGTTAACTCTTGAGGGCTCAGCTGTTCTAGTTCATCAGTTAGCAGTAAGGCATTCCTTGGGAAATATCCCACCCTCTGACTTTACCACCTCAACCAAGCTTCACAATCATCATTGCTCTGTGTGTGTGTGTGTGTATATGTATATATGTGTGTGTGTGTGTATATATATATATATATATATATATATATATATATATGGGGGAGAGAGAGAGAGGCTGTCTGTCTGTCTGTCTTAGTGTGTCTTTTGTCTGGTGAAAAAAATGTCCCTGGAACCTAACATTAATTCTTATGGAGAAATTTGATTCGCTTAACATCGTTTCACTTAAAGTCGCATTTTTCAGGATCATAACTACAACGTTAAGCGAGGATTTACTGTACCTAATTCTAACAGGAAAAAAAATTCTTTCATGTGCTACAGACTAAAAAACAAGAAAGCGTACTGGACTCTAGAAATCTGCAGGCATACTTTTTGTTGAGTTTTATGTGAAGGGTGGAGCAGCTTCAAGAAAACAGTCAAGACATATTAGTATTTTCATAATGAGGAAACTTTGTCTGATTTGAGTTCTGTGAACTTTAAAATATTTGATCTCTGAAATTTAACTTTGGTGTATTGTAAAAATATATTGCATGCCAAAGAGCTGTGCAAAACCAGTTTCTTTTGATGGTGGGTTTTTTATAGGATTTTAGTCTCTTATTGACATAAAGTTTGTGATCATAACAGGATTTTGTTGCCTATGTAAGATCTAATCCTTTACATAAGCAGCTTCAATAAGATTGACATGGGGATTAAGGGCAAGCAGGATTTGGTCGATAGTCTACAAATGACAGGTATTCAAAGGATGTTGAAAATAGCCAAATATTGCGGCCTGATCAAGTCACTTGTTTTTGACAGTGGTTTTTTTTTTCAAATTAATATTGTCATATGTCAAAGATCGTGTCACAACTTGTCTCTATACAAAATTAATATAATATGACTTGAGTGATCTAGTTGGTACAGGACATTATTTCTTTTGGAAAGCCATGTTCTTGTTAGCTGAAACTGCCTCTGCTATTTTTTTGGAGTGAGAGTATAGTTTGTTTTCTACATCCTTTCAGTTCCTTGAGTCTGCAGAGACCGCTAGCAAGAGTGCAAAGCAGGAACTGAACTGAGTCCATTTGCTTATTTCACAGAGCAAGTCACAAAGTAGTTACCTGCAATATTCAGTTGCTGACTGCCTGCTGTTTTGGATCTTAAACTTTAAATTTAAGCTGGAGGCCCAGGTCTCACTTAGTGGTTTCAGTGGTGCTCAAGCAGATCTGTTTATTTATCTTGGTTAAACCTCTCTAAGAGCTACTGTATGTTTAGATAGCTGACAGTTTAAGTCCTAGTTCTTTGTCTTTGGGTTTGTTTATTTGTTTGTTTGTTTTTTCATCTGGTCAAAAAGATTTATTTGGCTCCCACTCATGTGAAGAAATTGTATTTCCCTAAAAGCAAAATAGGCCCCCTCTTTAATAAAGAAACCTGAATGTGGAGAAAGCTAAGAGAACATCATAACTTTATTAAATAAAAAAAACAGAGAACATTCACTCTTCTGCTTGTATCTTGACCAACAATACACATAAGAAAGGTTTCCAAAAATAGGCGAGAATTGGAAAGATAAAGGGTTTTGCGGGTAAGGAGTCTTCTACCTTCCTATCTTGTCTGTCCCTGATGTTGTTGTAGTGTATCTTAGTTTATATTTGTAAGATTTTATTTAATTTGTAATGACTAGTATCTGTCTCCACAGGTAGTGATTAAAAGTAACTTGGAAAAAAGGATTATTGGAGTCATCAATGAGCACAAAAAGCAAAGTGATGACAAGGGAATGATTTCTAGAAGACTTACTGCCAAAAAATTACAGGTGGAGTACAAATCTTTTTTTTTTTTTTTTTTTAAATCTAGATC